ATCTTCTATCAACTCGCTCCCATAAAAATCAAAATTTTCGCATTGTATTATCTTCAGGACTTCCAGATTACTAAAGACTTTCAAAGAATCTAATTGAAATGGTGATTCTTGTTGAAAATTCAAGTATCTTAAGTTCAAAATCACCAAGTTGTCCTGATTATGATTGACCACGCTCTTCCATATTATTTGGAAATCCATCTCAAAGCATTCAATCGAAATCTTCTTTAATTCCCTTTGTGATTCTATGAGTCTAGCAAGTTGCTCGACCGCCCCGACGTCGCCCTCTGCACTCAAGCTGATTTTTATTTCTTGAAGATGTGTAGAAAAATACGACGATGAAAAAAGGATTCCGGAAAGCATCTCACCGGCTCCTGGTTGTAAAGAAAAGCTCACATCCAAATTTAGAAATCTCAGTGATGTTAAAGTGGACTCTGCCTGAGGCAAATCATAGATATTTATGTGAAGGGCCTCCCTTTTACCATTGAGGGTAAGCTCTTTGATGTTGGAAGAGTGAGCGACAAAATTTTGAAGGATCATGCGGTATAGATAAAGCTTTTGAGATCCTTTGGTGGATGCCGAAATAACTTTCTTCGACACATTCTTTTCATACCATTCCGAAATGCTCGAATATATCTCATCGAGGTGAAGATGGCGGAGGTATTTGTGGTATTCGAACACCGCTCTACGATTACTATTTTTTGTGACCTTACCATGGTCGCTTGAATTATCCGAATAACCACTGTCATCATTGATATGATTATCGGAATTACCGTTAATGCCGGTATGATTCGAATTTAAGGTTTCACGTATCTCCTCGATTATCTTTTGCCCCACATCTTTCGGCAAACATTTAAAGTAAGTATCGATCAACTTTATGTGCTGATCGCTTCTCCTCCCACTGTATCCGAAAGGATCTCTCCACAGTTCAGGTGTGAGAATGGTACACCAGTGTCGATTGATCAACACGAGGTTCCTTTGCACCTCGAAACTTTCGATGATCAAATTCTTAAAGATAGAGAGCAAACATGGAGCTGGGAGAGACGATACACTTGAAGAAATCGAAGGAGAGAATGAAGAAACCGCCATTCTTTTCTATATAAAAAAAAAAAAAAAAGAAAAAAAGGAAAGAAAGAAAAAATCCTGCTCCTTTAGTTGAGAGTTTATGATTGATTCTATTAGATTTGATGGTGCTGCTTAAAAAAACCTGCGTATCATCTACGTAATAGACGTACAGTAGTAAGATAAGGGAAGAAAAACCAGAGGTGACACTGACGCCTGTGACCATAAGCATTGCCTTGAGTAACCCAGCCTTACCAATCTCGCATACCTGTGTGTTACGCAACGATTGCTGACGTGCACCTTTGGACCGGCAAATTGTAGTACACATCGTGATTATCAACTGGAACCATTGTTTAGTCATTAAACTCTTTGTATATTGTGAAACCACAAGTATTCCCGGATTTTATGGATTTCACATTTCATACAATGACAACGTACGTAAGTATATACAGTAAGTGCGGAAATGCATAACGCATAGACTAGCGTGTTTCACTGCCTCTGAAAATGAAAGATGGGGCGAACGATTCTGATAAATAAAAAATTTTTTTCTGAAACTTTTTATCACACCACCCGAGTCGGCTGGCACTTTCCGACGACCGATATAACCCCTTAGATGAGTCATGAGAGACAAGCCAAAAGCACATCTGGTGATTCATCACGTAACACGATCTCTTCCAATGATGTGCGCATTGGTAGAATCGTCCCTTTTTCTGTTTTCAAATATGACCACGTACGACCTTGATCAGCTGATAGGATTTCCTATACAGTACGTGCAGTGTATCGTCTCTCTCTCTCTCTCTTTTTTTTATAGAAACTATCCCTTAGTGGGTGGTACTAATTTAGTGGTTTCTTTGTTTGTCAAACGTATTTCTGACCAAACTTGGTTGTTTACAAATAAAGATTTTTTTTTTGTAGTTTAATTAAACTTGGCTCTTTAAGGGATGAACATTATTGATCAAATTTACCTCTCTATTCAAGTGTTGGACGTGAATTGATAATTTTGGAAAAGAATATGTATTAACTTTATTTTCTGACGCGTTTAAAATGACAAAAAGTATTATTTAATTTTGCATCTGATATTTATCTCATGCATCTTTCATATGTTGTGTTAATTATATCAACAATTCGATGCAAAAACGAATTTTACCAACAATTTTTGTATTTTTACTTATACAATATGCGTATACGTATACACTATATTTATAATTTGCTACTTTAAATAAAATAAAATAATTTTTTTTTTATTTAAAATTTTATATTTTCATCAGCTACTTTCATTTTTTGAAAATATTTAAAATGACTTATAGACATCATAATATTTGTTTTATTTTATTTTATTTTATTTTATTTTATTTTATTTTATTCTTTATTGATTTTTATTTAGTTATTTATTTATTGAAAAAAAATTTTATTATATTTATTTGATTCTTTCTTTGTTATAACAATTATAATATAATAATGTTTATTATATTTCATATTAATAAAAAATTATTTTTTTATTAAAATTCCAATAATATATAAAATATTAAAAAAATTATTATTATTAAATAAAATAAAATATAAATCAATTAATATATAATACTGTATATTGATTTTTTAATTATATTAATAACTACAGTATTAATTTTAATATTATTAATATAAATAAATTGTAAAATATTATATACTCTTTTTACAAAAACACTACAGATTTTTTAAAAATTGTTTTTTTTTAATAATTTTAAAATATTCAAAAATAAATCTCATCTTTGATTACAAAAGAACCTTAAACAAATATATATAATTAAATATAAAAGTAATATAGTGGCCGGAAGTAAATCATCGGAAATTGATTATCGTTAATTAAAAAGTTAAATTATATCATATTTTTTTTTATTTATAATTTATAATATAATTATAATGATTCATAATTTAATGACTTTATTTA